TGTTGTGTATGTGTTGTGTATGTCTGTGTATTCGTATTCGTGTATTCGATGGAAACGGCTGTGAATATGCCTGTGGTGTGTACGATGTGTCTCGTGTGAGTTGCGTCCGTGTGATTGAATTGTTTCGTTAAATCGTTCGCCGCGGTTCCATGCCTGCGACATTGCTCGCAGGTCTTGGAAGTCCTCGTGTCGGTGCATCGATCGTTGCGTCCACTTCCGATTAACAGTTCCGTCGCGTATATTAAAATAAATATTAAGACTTCCGAAACGTACTGTTTGCTGGTCCAATCTATATAACAAATCATCGATCGATTAAAACAAAAAGGAAATTAATCAAAAGACTAAACCCACGACGGATGCACCACCTTCCTTCGTCGCACTTTCTCATACAGTTGGTTACTTACATGATCCCAGCCCGCCTATGGCTCAAAAGTGAAGAGAGGCAAAGGAATTCGACCGCATGCTCCACCTCAGCTTGCGGCTCAGCTAGTAACAAAGACGTGTCGAAATTAATTCTGTCATTACTATCAGTCTGAGCACTGCGAGTGGACGTCCCCCCTTGCCTCTTTACCCATTTCACGCGCAGGTTGGCTGGAAACATGCGAGTAACCAATTGTACTCGTTTGATTATCGCCGAACACGCCCCACGACCACGTGACCTAACCTCATTTGCCAGCTTTCCGCAAAGATATATTTTTTTCTTTTCTTATTTCTCTTTACAATATGTACGGAAACATTTCATGTAAATTCGCTGCGATTTGCAATATTTATTTTGTTACGAGAAGGAAGAACAGTCACACGGATTTTCATTCGCAGCGCGTCTCAGATACTTTCTCGTATCGGCGATCAGCTGTTCGTGTGCCGCCATCTTCAACGCGTTCGGTCACGTGGGCCGCGGGAGCCATGTAGAACATAACGATCGGGGGAGCAAACGAACTCGTCGGTTCCGCGAGCTCCAAACTCTGCGAGTCTCCGTTAACCGTTCGACGCGATGAAAATGCAACGCGTCACGATAATTAGGTACGTTTTCCTAAATAAAAATATAGACCTCATAAAAATGTTCTTTCTCAGTGTCCCTAAGCACCATTTGATATAGTGTTTTTTAACGTCGTGTGGAGTAACTGCGCGATGAGAGTATCGCAGCGTCGTGTGCACGCACGAGACAATGTCGGCCGGAAATCGGCGTGGGAGAAGGGCGCGAACCGGCGGAAACGATGAAAAAGAATTACGGCAAATCTTACGGATTGTCAATCGTCGAAAACGAATATTCGATAACGATTTACAAAATTCTCGTACGTTCCACATTTCCGGGCTGCCATTCGACTCGAAAGGAACATCGTTTAAAAGCATACGAAAATATACAGCAGAATGCAACCGGCGAATGGAATGTTTATGAAACAACGTTGCAATCAACGGAACGCTCGTCGAACATGCCGGTTGTCGAATCGTGGGACGCGCGCGCCGCAGCGCGCCACCATGTGCGGTTTTCGATTCACGACCGGTCCCGCAGCTGCAGCGCGCGGAACATTATGTTTTTCGCGACAGTTCGATGGCAACCGTGAACGACAAAGCCGGACGAATCCTTCTCCCGCATTACCGATCATGTCGATTTACCACACACGGTCGACTTCATCACTGTGAACCGACGACGACTCGCTCCCCCGTTTGTCACGGACGCTCTGTCAGAACTCGCTCTGAATCGATTTTATGATCGAAGGACCTGCGAACCCGGCATATATTATTTCCTCTACATACGGGAGGGGCAGGCGGAGTACACCGAATAAAATATAAAAAACATGACGACAATGAATGAGCGATTGTGTTCTTCATGTTTCCTCCCCCTCTCGTTCTATAATAATCTCGTAGAACTTAAAAGCTGACTTCGTTGTATCCGGTCGGCGGGAACGACGCGACGAGGACCATCGGGGCATTCCCGGCGCGTAGAAGAGGTTTCCTCGTATAATTACTTTTTTACTCTTTTTTCGGATTCTTTTTCTCGCATTTTTCTTTCCTCCTTGTTCTCGTTAGTTATTGGCAGCAGTGGAATTAAGACATTGTGCGCGTCCGGTCCCCCGTCGTTCGGCCGTGGCGGATTCACGCTGCGCCGCGGTCAGGAACGGGATTACGGGGGACTCGAGCTTATATACGGAAAATTCGGGTTCGGTTTTGGAGCGTGGGTTTGGGGGTCGTTGGTTAGTGGTAGGGGCTGGTAGATGGGGGATGTGTGTGGGAGTTCTTCAGCGCCGTCGTTCCTGGACGATAGCCGGCAAAGTCAAAAAGAGCGGATATATATATATATATGTGTGATATATATATATATATATCAACAGTGTGAGTATCGGTATTTTAGCCGCTGTTGTGTACCAGGTGCCGCGCGACGCAAGAATAGTGCCCGGTGGAGAGAGAGCCGTATCTCTTTCTCTCTCTATCTCTCTTCCTCTCTCTCTCCGGTCTGTACGGCTCGCGATCGCTTAAGAGAAGATACGAAGCGCCTGTAGGACCGGCCTGGAGCACACGGGGCAGCTGGGATCGGAACTCTCGCAGACCCGGTTACCGCAGTCCAGGCAGAAGTGATTGTGCCCACATGGCACTAGCGCCGCGGTGACCTCCTTGTCGTTGCACACCATGCATTCCCGTCGTCCACCGCCCAACAGCGAGTCCGTGGGTGAGGCCGGACTCGCCGACGCCGGCCGTGACGGCCTCGAGGGTAGCGCGACGCCGGGGAACGACCAGATCGAGGAGGCGGACGCCGCTTGGGATTCGAACGACGGCGACTCTCCCAGGCCTTCGTCCCTCTCCATGCCGGCGCCCCAAATCGCCACCAGCTCGTTCAGTCCAGGTGCGCCGGAACTACTGGACGAGCTGCTGCAACTGCCGCTGCTGGAGAACGCGCCGCTGGACCCGTTCGAACCGTTCGAGCCCGGTGGTTCGAGGCAGCCGAGGATCGAGCCCAGCCCGCCGCGACACAACGCGCTCAGTAGCTCCGACTCGTCGAACGCCGGTCCCGTGCCAGTTCTCAGCGCGATGTGCGCCTCGATCTCGCGCCTCGCCGCCTCGACGCTCTCCGGCAGCCCCGTCACCTCGAACACCGGCTCCTTGTCGCGGCTCGGCGTCACTATGTAGGTATGCGTCTGATGTTGGATTCTCTTGATCGTCGCGCCTTTCGGCCCTACTACCAGCCCGACCACTCTGTACGGGACTCGTACCTGAATCGTCACGTGGCCTGGAACTGAAGCGGGCGGGCCAGGCGGCGCGCCCAGCAGCGCGCCCAGCGAGCTCTTGCGCGACGCGCGTATCTGAGAGAAGTGCTCCGCGGCAGAGAGGATCTCGCGTTTGGCGCGCGCCACGTCCTCCTTTCGGCCAGTCACCACGAACACCGGCTCCTCGCCGCGTACCGGCGTCTTGATGTACGTGTTCGTCTTCGCTCGTAGCGCCTTGATTTTGCAACCTGGAATCAGATCGTGGAAAGAATCTTTTAGATGCATGGATTCATATAGAATAATTGAGATGCGTGTAGAGTAATTGAGTATGTTAATAAATGAAACTTTCACGTAATCTGTTTGGACTAATGACGTTTGAGAGCTGCCGACTAGAGCAGTGTTGCTTTCTTACTTTGAAAAACAGACTGTAGTACGGAGTAAGAGTTGAATATGCTGTAATGTTTATATCCATATGAAAAGTTAGAAGGACAGACAGTTTCTGAAAGATTAACTGATGAGGTGAACTTGGCAAACGCATAATCTCAGTGAAGCCCTTGCAGTTAGCGCCACTACTGCAGTGGTACCATTACCACCATAATTCAGTAATAGACTATTATACGAAACAGACCTAATGAACTGCCTCAACAGATTAACTCATCATTCGAGAGAGTCACCGCATAAACCGCACACCCCAAAATCGATAGACCGATCCGATAGTTCGAAATCCGCCTTCATCGACTGGTCACAATGAACTCGTAAACCAAGTTCTCGTGCGTACAATTGACCCTCCAATGAGTCGCGATGCCTATTTAAATTTGGTGCACCGTAGACGTTCACTGGTCTTTCTCGTGACGCAATTGTCTGTACGCGAGGAGCAACAGACAGCGCGTAGCGAATCTGCGCGAGCAGTACGAAAAAGGAGAAGGTGGAAGCAATAGAACGCTACGAAGAAGGTAGATAGAAGGCGGAGGGAGAGAGCGAGAGAGAGAAAGGAAGAAAAAGAAAGCGCGAGAGAGGAGGGAAAGGGAGGGAGAAAGAGAGCAAGAGAGAGGAAAAGAGACAGAGTAGGGTGCAGGAAACTGGAAGGAAGGAGGTCCCGACCCGGTCTGGTCCACGGTCTCGCAGACTCTCTGGCCTTGAGCCGGCGCAATGCTAGCTATGCAGGTGAACCACTCCTCTCCCTTTCCTTCTTTCTCTTGTTGGCTCCTTCATCCTTCGTCTCTGTTTCTCTCTCTCCATCTCACATGCGCATACACACAGTCCGGAGCTTTCTCCTTCCCGCGTATCCTTCGCAGCTTCATCCTTCTTTTCCCTTTCTCTCTCTTTCTTCAAGCTCCCTTTCATTTACTTCACTCTCTCCTTCCTACAGCGAACATCCAACGAACGCGACACACCGCCCCGACTGTTGTCTCTATCCTCCCTCCTCTATCTCTCTCTCTCCTTCTCCTCATCCCTCTTTCTTACTCTTTCTCCCCATGTATCGCATACCATTGCCTTCTCGTTGCGTCTCGCCAACCGATCCAGCGCGTTTTCTACGTCCATTAGCGACTTTTTAATTGGGTTTATCAACCGAGTCTATCGGCTGTGAATCAACGAACGATTCAGAATCGAGGATTGGTCGAGATAAACACGCTTTTGTATTATGTGTTATTGGAGGATGTCGATGAAGAATAATATCTGGTGATTCACTTTAGTTTTGAAGACTAGTGGTATTGGGAGCTCAGCACTGCCGTTGTTCTTTGATTGCGAAGAAGAAAAGGTTATAGGATATTCACATTGTTAAACGTTTCAATGTGAGCGAAAGTAGAAAAGAAATATTAATCAGTTGAAAGACAAACCGTCTTCTCAATTAATACATGAGTGGTACCGGATGAAACATTAAAAGTGCTATTCCAATGACCTCAGCACTAGAATGATAATTAGTTCCCATTTGTTTCTCGCTAATATTTTTGTTCGACACTTTCCAAACAGTAAGCATATAAATGTGTTTTATACAATAATAATTAAACGATAAATACATAAGGGTATACTTTCAATTATTATAAACTGTATTAAAAATAAAATTCCTTCACAGCACAAGGGCCCTGAGACACGATACAACTTTTTTCTGTAGCACATTGCTCGCCCCTTCTCTTATAAATACACAAACTCTGCAGGAAAATATTATTTTTTGCATATGAATGTTTAACCTTTGTGGTAAATTTATTCCTGCAGTGAACATATAGTACTTTCGCTATGAAATTATTATCAGCGAAGTAAATCTTGATAGTCTAATAAAAGAAAATAATGAATAAAGAGGCTAATGGGAGCTCATTAGCATTAATCGACTTTTTATCTTCAAATGAACGTTTTCTTTTTGTATTTCCTTTTGATCCGCATCAACGTCTTAAGGTTCTCAGTAACAATAATGTATCTCCGGATTCATTCTCTTTTATTTACACTCGGCTGGACGTCTCAGTATCACTGCCACGCCATATATACTATCGAAACTTGCAAAGTGTTAATAAAAACAGCATTTCGAAGGATCTCCAAGGCATAAAGAACGAAAACGAACAATACTGCGCAAAAATATTCCACAAAACAGCATATCGATCGCCATGTGCCGAATTTGAATATAGAAGAAACGATTGAATGTCAGGAACCCGTTCATCCGAGCCGAGTGAAATTTTTGCGTTCCGAGAATGGGAAAAGCGCGACGGATTCCTCCGGCCGGGGCACGGAGTTATCTCTCGCGGCGCGACAATGTCACGGGCGTCCGTGGTTCTTCAGGGACGTGGCGTGGCGCAATCTTGACATCGATACGGCCTTTGCCGCGCGGACGAGCCGTGCACTCGCTGCCGCGACGTTAATTCGCGCGAGGAAAGGGACAACACGCGTGGCACGCACCACTCGGCGGCGCGAGGTCGTCTCGGGGGCGCGAGCATAATTACGCCCGTGACATGTTTCTTTTCTCCGGCGGGATTTCAACGAATTCAGGGAATTCCACGCGCGATAGAAGCTTCCAAACCGCGTAGGCGTGACACCATTACACCGTCGAACGCGTGAAACGCACGTTCGGAGAATTAAACGCTTTCGCAATTCAATAACGAAATTATGCGTACACACGCCAAACCGTGTATCTTTGTTTCGTTTTGTTTTTTCCCCCGCTTCCCGTTTTCAGCTAGAATGAAAATGCAACGAAAAACGGGGTGGCATTGTCGTGTGGAATATTTCGTAACGAACCAGACCACAAACGTCCTCGAGCGTGGAAGGGTAAACCCTGTCTCGGTTCCATCGATCACGCTTTATTTTCGGAACCCATTGTACGCAACCTTCTTCTCTTGTCTCGTTCCTTCCTTCGAGCCGGTTTACCTTCGCCGATTATATTCATTCAACGGTTACATACCTCGTGCGCGCACCCCTCCCTCCAGCAACTTTCCTCGACCCTGAATGCAACGCTTCGCGGCGGCAATTGATGCAGCCGCCGGATTGCACCTTGGAATTCACGGTGAAACGTGGAAACCTGGAGCACCGGATCCAAGAAATTCGCATGAGCCGGCGCCGGGGTCTTGACTTTGAAGAATCGCGAGTTACCCAGCGAAAATCGAAAAATAACTTTCATCGTCGACGTATTTACGTAAACTGAATCACGGCTTTCTATTCGATTTCTTTACATTCAACAATTTTCTGGGGAGCTTGAACTGTTCGAAAACTGGTGCAAACAATCACCCAGAGAAAATAGGAGAGAAACTAGAAATCTTCAACCCCTAACCTACGTCGCGTCAAACTCGTTATGGAAGTTTCGAATAAACAGAAACAAGTAAATGTGTAATGTGATATATCTTTTACTGACAATTTATCAAGGATAAAGTAGTTCTAATCAACACGAACATGCGGTAATCATCCCCCTTTCTGCGTATTCTGCAAAACCCTCTGATCTACTGTAGTCACCAACGAACAATACTCTTTCAGATCTATCTGTAGGTGAAATACCAATTTTTATTAAAAAATTCCTAATTTCTGACACAGTTCAAAGTAACCACCAAGATTTTCCAAATCCTGAATTAGTGATTCTCGGTAAGCACACATTCGGAGGGGCATGAAATCGTGCATGAGACCGGACTATTTTACTTGAAACGTCTCTAAATTCGCACAAATGACGAATGTAATTGAACCAATTACGGTGGCGATTGTGGCGCAGCCAATTAACGGCACCTGATGGAAGGATCGGTCCCCGGGGATCGGTTCTCCGATCGCCCTTTTCCCCGTGGTACCCGCAGTAATTCAATTTATCGAGATTCCATCATAAACACTGTTTTCCTTGGTTTCCGTGGACCTACTCGTCGCTGCGCAAGACTAGGCTTAACCCCTAATTTTTATTCCCATCGACTTCTACGTGTTTCGCCGGTGTACCGTGGCTCGCTCGAGGCATCCAGCCACTATCCTTGGGCAAATTTATGCTTCTTTAGATTACGGATAATAATGGTTACCCTTGCGTCCTGGCAAGCACTCGTCTTAACAATTCGCCAGCTAGAATTACGACCGATTTACCCCTGTAGCGATTTTATACGACTGCGAGCGCAGTCATTGACACGCGATATCATTCTACTCCCAGCCCGGTGGAAAAATTCTCGCGAAAATTTATTTTTGGCGGAGTGACCTTCTTATATCTTACTTTTACTTCTGTGCCACCGGATACATCAAGTTTTTTACAAACTTCTTATGTTTTCTGATCATTAATCATAAATCATCGTTAAATTGTTATAGACAACGAATCAATATATTGTTCGTCAAGGAAGAAATAAATTAGTTCACTATTTTCGTTTCCTTTGCTGACTCTGATGTGATCCCTATATAAATTTCTTTTTCGCTACGACTTTCCAGAGCGTAATCGAACGGATTTTATGAACATAATATATTTAATGACGGTGATTAATACTCACGTAAAAAGTTTTCTAATGAAATCTTAATTAGTTGTTTCACAGTTTCTGATCCGGGATCGTAAAGTTCGCGTCTATTTGTACGTGGCTTTCACGCAAAATTAAATACCTTGCTTTCGAGGGGCTAAAGAAACATCCGCGGGTGGTAGAGTAGTTCGATCATAAAATGGTCTGATTTGATGTGGGTCGTAACCTTGCCCAATTCTGGAGCGTTGGATGGTAACTGCGTGGTATTGGCGAGCGCTCCGAATTTCAAGTGTGTGTTGATAGTGCAACACTGAAGCCTTGAAGCTGGTATTTACGATGACGGCCAAGGGAACGGATCGAGT